CAATGCATTAATGCATTTGGAAAAAAACAAAACACCATAAGTAGGTACCTATTTTATTTCCATGGGTGATCGAGCCAACGGTATTGACTTAATTTTGTTATTGGAATTGACAGCCGCTATTAATTTGCTTTTTTATTGCAATTAAATGAAGTCGTGTCAGACGAGTGGATAACGAAAAAAAAAAACCTTCATTAATTTGGTTAAATTACAACAAGTGAACGTGCCGACTTAATTACCAACAGGCTTAAAAGTGCCATAACTCTTTTCTAATTCCGCCTAATTAGTTCTCGGAAGTGACCGAAAAAATGCGAAGCTACATCAGGAAAAAAAAAGGCCGCTTTTGGTACCCAGATTACAGCATCACCGTAGTATCTATGTCGCACGATAATTAGACGATGTCAAGGCGAGATATAAAAAAAGTCTTCGTTTCTCAGAAGTGGCGTCTCGACGGGCTAGAAGGAGTCGGTGGCCGTCTATACAACCTAGCAGGTCTCAGTATAGTGTGTAAGACATTTTTAGAATTCTAAATGTGTTTTTAATCTCGTTAAATTGTTTTTAGCAGAAGAAGACGTATGAAAAATCAATTATGTATAGAAGAATTTGGAAAAAGTGTGGGAATATTTAATAAAGTTTATTAATATAGCAAAATAACAAGCAACTCATCAAAGAATGAGTGATAAAGTTCTCTATCTAATGACGAATATTGGACGGCAAAGAGAGCTATTGCATAAGTCAAAATCACCCTATCTATTGTGAACATCAAACATACTTTAGATAGGAAAGAACTCTGAATTACATGGTATTAGTGTAGAAGCTATCATGTTAACTACTTATACGATGTATACAAACCAAGGGCGAATATAGGCCTTTTGAAAGGGCAGTTTAGGTTAAAGTAAGCCAGATTGGGTTAGTTTGGGATAGTTTTGGCAGCGCATTGTACAAGATACGGTTTTTCGAAGCAATGGCCCATAAAAATATGGGAATGGGGGAACTACTTAGGAGAATACTGTGATTTTAAATAGGTGGTGTTTTTTTATATATTGACACACCTTTACAGGTAAGAGAAAGGTGTAAATACAAAAGTTGTACAGTTCTGGCAGAATTTTTAGAAATCATGATCAGAAACAAAATTTGAATGTCGAAAATGTGAAATTTTGCATGCTTCCAGCATTTTCCAAATGGGATGCCCTATATTTCATTCTATATTCTTGAAGAGCACAATGCCCCGATTCCAAAAAAATATAAAATGTCTATATTTGATTTTACAGTCTCTCATATATTCGGCTCCAAAAATTGTAAAAATACTATCCTACTACTGATTTTGTGAACCATTCTACCTATACAGATGAAAACTGTATGTACTTGGTTTCTCTGATAGTATTTTTAAAATTTATAGAACCAAATATGTTGGAAACGGCTCAACCAAATATAGACAAACTATATAGTTTTGGAATCAGGAAATTGTACTCTTCAACAGTGGCGGCTCGTGGTATAACATATTGGGGGTGCACATAATTTGTAATTCATAATAAATGCCGGTTGCGTTTGTTTTGCTGGCGCATTTGGCCACTAATTTTTTAAATTAATACTTTACAGGTAGATTGTTAAAATTTGAAGAATGATAAAATTAAATTTAAAGTTGTTTGATATTAATTTGGGAGTGCACGTGCACATGTGCTCTTATGGAGGAACCGCCACTGCTCTTCAAGAATATAGAACCAAATATAGGGCATTCCATTTGAAAAAAGCTGAAAGCATGCAACATTTTACATTTCTGACATTCAATTTTTGTTTCTGACCATGGATTCTTAAAATTTAGCTAATAGGTACTGTACAACTTTTGTATTTACACCTTTCATCTATTTGTAAAGGTGAAGGCTGTAGGTGAGGTGTAAATACATAAAAAAACAACCTGTACTTAAACAATAACTTATTATATAAAGTCAGAATTTGTAAGATTATCCACTTTTTGTCAATTTGCCTTTCAACAGGAATTAGTAATGTTACTTTACCAAACTAGTAACATAATGTGACAAGTTATTTAAGTACAAATGAGTGAATTGTTGCGGTACTTATGGTTGGAGCTCTATTCATCAATATGTTGTTTAATCACGATACTAAACTGACTCATTCAAATGTGCTTTATTCTCATTAGTTCAAAAACTACACGTTTCAGGTGAGTGTCTTATTTGAACAATTCAACAGTATATTGGTGAGTAGATGGCTGCGGAACTCGCTGCGCTCGTCCCGCAGAGGTCCACCCATAAATTCCGCAATAATCCACTTATTTGTACTTGAACAATAACTTATTATATAAAGTCAAAATTTGTAAGATTATGATTATTCACTTTTCGTCAATTTGCCTTTCAACAAGAATTAGTAATACTACTTTACTATACTAGTGACATAATGTGACAAGTTATTCAAGTACAAATGAGTGAATTGTTACGGAACGTATGAGTGGATCTCTGCGGGACGAGCGCAGCGAGTTCCGCAGCCATCTATTCATCAATATGTTGTTAATTCACGATACTAAACTGACTCATTCAAATGTGCTTTATTCTCATTAGTTTAAAAATTACACATTTCAGGTGAATGTCTTACTTGAACAGTTCAATAGTATATTGGTGATTAGATGGCTGCGAAACTCCACCCATAAGTTCCGCGACAATCCACTTATTTGTACTCGAACAATAACTTATTATATAAAGTCAGAATTTGTAAGATTATCCACTTTTTGTCAATTGGCCTTTTAACAGGAATTAGTAATGTTACTTTACCAAACTAGTAATATATTGTGACAAGTTATTCAAGTACAAACGAGTGGATTGTTGCGGAACTTATGGGTGGACCCAGTCATCTATTCACCAATATGTTGTTCAAGTACAATACTAACCTGAATCACTCAGTTGAGAATTTTTCTCATTAGTTCAAAAACTACACGTTTCAGGTGAGTGTCTTATTCAAACAATTCAACAGTATATTGGTGAGTAGATGGCTGCGGAACTCGCTGCGCTCGTCCCGCAGAGGTCTACCCATAAGTTCCGCAACAATCCACTTATTTGTACTTGAACAATAACTTATTATATAAAGTCAGAATTTGTAAGATTATCCACTTTTTGTCAATTGGCCTTTTAACAGGAATTAGTAATGTTACTTTACCAAACTAGTAATATATTGTGACAAGTTATTCAAGTACAAACGAGTGGATTGTTGCGGAACTTATGGGTGGACCCAGTCATCTATTCACCAATATGTTGTTCAAGTACAATACTAACCTCATTCACTCAGTTGAGAATTTTTCTCATTAGTTCAAAAACTACACGTTTCAGGTGAGTGTCTTATTCGAACAATTCAACAGTATATTGGTGAGTAGATGGCTGCGGAACTCGCTGCGCTCGTCCCGCAGAGGTCCACCCATAAGTTCCGCAATAATCTACTTATTTGTACTTGAACAATAACTTATTATATAAAGTAAAAATTTCTAAGATTATGATTATTCACTTTTTGTCAATTTGCCTTTCAACAAGAATTAGTAATGCTACTTTACTAAACTAGTTACATAATGTGACAAGTTCTTCAAGTACAAATGAGTGAATTGTTGCGGAACTTATGAGTGGACCTCTGCGGGACGAGCGCAGCGAGTTCCGCAGCCATCTACTCATCAATATGTTGTTTAATTACGATACTAACCTGACCCACTCAAATGTGAGTTGCCTTACTTGAACACTCTAACAGTATATTGATGAGTAGATGGCCACCCATATGTTCCGTAATAATCCACTTATTTATACAGGGTGCTTTTTTTATATATTGACACTCCACCTACAGCCTTCACCTTCACAGGTAGAAGAAAGGTGTAAATACAAAAGTTGTACAGTTTTGTCAGAAATGTAAAATTTTGCAGGCTTCCAGCTTCTTTCAAATGAAATGTCCTATATTTCAATCTATATTCTTGAAGAGCACAATGCCCCGATCTATACTACTCAAAACGAAATAAGGACTACTTATAAAGGCACCTTGGTTTTTATTAAATTTTGAATAACCCAGGTTAAGTGACTTTTTCTATTTTCAATATAGATAAACAAATAAGGTGAGCAAAAAAATTTAATGTAAAAAAAAATTATAATGTAAATGGAAAACAAACACTTCACCAGGATTATTCAATATTTATTAAAAATAAAGTTTTTTCTTTAAATTGGTCCTTATTTCGTTTTGACTAGTTTATATTTGATTATTTGCCCCTCCACTGTATCCGCCACTAATACAAATATTTGACTATGAAGCCAAGAACAATCGAATCTATTATTAAAAAGTTTGAACAATGTTACACAAGCCAAAAAGTCTCGTTTTACTAAAATCTTTTTAAATTATCAAAAACTGATGTTAGTTATTATAATAAATCTCCCTCGTACATCTCTGATTACGAATCCATATTATGATTAGGAGTCCAATAATATTACGTTATCGATATGATAGGATGTGGTCAGAAGTTACTGAGCACAGACAATAATTGAATAAATACTGAAATTCAATTAGTGCAGATACAGAACCTCGAGGGAATTTGCGGTTTAGGTGTTAGATTAAGAGCCGCCAGCCACCAAACTTGAATATTATTTTAACGGTTTGATGAGATATAATGAAAAAACTCCACTAACAAATTCAAAAGTTGACAATTTATGTAGCAACATATCAAGATTTAACTGATCGAATGAAAATTCGATAGTAGACAAATTTACTAGAATGCCTTTTGGATTAAAGAACGCACCAGCAATATTCCAAAGAGTAATTCGTGAAGCTCAACTAAACTAAATTTAGTCCATCATAACATCCACGATTTTCAATGACTGCATTTTTTATTGTGTCAGTTGATTCTGTTGCTTTGCTTCTGGCTTTTCGTTATTCTAACATTTGGAACTTTTACCTGCCCCTATATTATTATTTGCAGTTTCTACTGTGATATGCTTGAATTTGGAAGATACTGTAGATTAGGTACTTACCTTTTCATTTTGATAAGCTGTAACTGCAATAAATTCCGTTTCCTTGAAGACATAGGTCCGAAACGTCGAGTAGGGTAGTTTTAAGATGTCGTTCGCCCTTACCAAGTGAAACCTAGGCTGGTACTTATGCATAGAGTTCAGTATCGTCTGCAACAACAAAAAATACATTATAGAGGCATAAAAATAATCAACAATGTTGTTTTGGTGCTACATTCTACTCGATTTTCCGCGTTGAGTGAATCAAGCCAAATCCCCCCGTCTCTAATGAATGTACAGCAGAAAAAAAGCCATCGTAAATACCACCATGGAAAGATTTTATTGGCTCATAGAGACCGGGATCATTAAAGGGGCATAAAACCGCATTTCTGTCATCGGCGCGAGTGATAAAAATCTCGATTCTTGATTCGAAACAATTTTCATCCGTCTCAACGGCGAATAAACTATTCCAGTAAAATTTTTATTCCCTGCCTTTCTGGGAATAATCTCGTTTCGAGATTGCGGTCTCTGAATTATACCGGGGTGGAATCGGACCGGGTAGAGACTGTTCCATCTGGAGTGAACAACAACAATTTTCGCAAACTAACGTGATGTTGTGTTGGTTTGATAAAGTGAAGAACATTTTCAACTAGCTAACTCAAATTATCTAAATTGAAATCCTCACAATAGACTTGGAAACAGTTCACATTACAGTTCCGATGGGAAAGTTATAGATAGGTTTGTTTGAAGAAGTGTCTTCTTACTCTTACTTCTTCAGGGAAACTAACCAACGTCTTATTTTTCTTGAAGAGTTACCTAAGACATAAGCAATTTGCAGGAAGCTAGTATAGGTAAGTAAGTAACCAACTAAAGTATGGAAAGTTTCCAATTTCCAGAGATATTCACAATAAAAATTAAGCTAAATTGTGTTACTTCAAGTTTCTAAATTTCCTTAAAAAATAAATTTTCTCAGATGAAACATACTCTACCAAAGTCCACATATCGTTCGTCTCTCAAAAGCGGCCGCGTCGTTAAAATTACTTAACTTTTCAACACTTTTTAAGTACTGTATTATCACTACGGTCGGCCTAATACGCAATTGCGGCTAAAAGCTGACAATCGTCCAGTCGGACACTCGACCGCTACCGCCGACATTCTGACCATAAATCTTCAACTTGGCCGACTGTTGTCTTATCTCAACGGTAGCTGAAAAGAAGACTTTACATCCTATTAACCTGAAGTTGGGTGCTTTTAGTTCGAAAGGGCAACGGCAGAGGCCACCCGGACTCTCTTTTGATGTTTTTTTCGGCCGAAATCGTTCAAATTCTACCGGTGCGGTTTCTGGGAGATTGTCGAGAAAAGATACGGGGTTTATGGTGTTGTCGGGTAAATTACTGAGGTGTCAGCTATGGCTCGATCGTAAAATGATTTCAATCCACATTCCTGAATTTTTTTTTTTTTTGAACGAGGATGCTGATGAGATGAAGAATAATGCGAATATAATATACATTACTCGAGTTTCAATAAAAATCAACGCAATTTAAATAACTTATCATTGAAGTCAAATATCTAGGAGTCATTTTGGACCAAAAGATGACCTGAGATCCACACCTCAACAAAGTTGTCCAGAAGGCTAAAATTTTCCTGAAGAGATGCAGAAGGCTTTGTAGAAAAAGCTATAGACTTCACCCAAAGATGAATCTATGGTTATACAAAATGGTGATAAGATAACCTATGGTTTGGTTGCCTGGGGTCACACAGACCGTAGCAATCAGACAGCTTCAAAGTGTGCAAAGGCTAGCCTGCATATGCAAACAGCCCCAACCACAGCCCAGAGTTCTTATTCTTAAAACAGGAGAGCAGCGCTTCCAGGAGAACGAGTGTTCCCTCTATGTTACTTATATCATCATTTTGCATGCACCATCTGCCTATTAGCAGTATTGCTGTTCAGTGCTGAATCCTAGTTTTAGATGGCACCACAATCAAATTTCGCTCGCTTTATAATATTATACATAGGTAGGTATATAGGTAACAATGAATATTTAAAGAGTTCGAATATCAAAGGCGCCTAAGAACATCATTCCCCAATAATAATAATACTTTATTACGTTTAAATGACAATATTATCCATAAACACCCTATCATTAGACCTAATCCAAATTGTACTATTAAACATAATTATTTTAGTCCGTGCTTATTAATAATTCCCAATTCTCTGTAATTTTCACTTCTGCTCTTTAAACATTTATTCGATAATAATATAATTTTCTTCACTTTTCACAGGATAATTATTCTTGACACAAAACGAGCTAGGTACTTTATATTTAACACTTGTAGAATATTATTTTATTCAGAAGATTGATACACGTACGACAAAAAATGCAGACGTTGATATATTATGTAGCTTCCATTTCTTTATTATCATGAAAACTTTGAACAAGTTATGGTTATCAACAGGAATTTTATATAGAAAGAAAAATGTTCAACAGATGCTTGATGTTTTAGTAAAAATTACCTTGTTTTTGCACTGTATGTGTGAGCTTCAAAGAAAAATTTTGATTTAAGACTTTCAAGAAAAATGTTAAATGATACGGAAGAATTATTGGAAAAGAAAAAAGTATTATGATAATTTTCTTCTAACTTCTTAAAAGCATCAATATATTGGTGTATACCATATGTAACTATGGGTATAGAAAAACACCATGTAACAAACCCATATTTATTATATCTTCATATTACCTATATTACCTATTACCTATCGCCACATGCAAACTGATAGAATTTTTTGTCAACCGTATTGTCAATCAATCAATCAAAATAATTTAAAAATGTTAGAGTTATCTGCGAAATAAAGTAAAGTCATATCAAACGAAACTTGTGTGAGCAGTGATTTGTTATATTGGAGCCCAACGTGGGGCCAGAAAAGTGTCATAAACGGGTGAAGTGACTCTGGAAAATTCCCACAAACTTTGCAAGTTTTGTTTTGTTTTTGGATGTACGTATCTTGCTTGTTTATTTCATGAATAGTGCTGTTTTTCCTATTCATTGATATCTGAACTTTAAGACTTTCATAAATAGTGCTGTTTTTTCTATTTATTGAAATCTGAACTTCAAAACTTTTATTTATAGTGCGGTTACTCCTATTTGATGAACTTTGATTTAAAAAAAAAAAAAAACTTTCATCTAAGAATTTTCGTCAATAGTGCGAGGTTTCCTATTTATTGAACTCCGAATTTAAAGTCTTCGTACCTAAATAGTGCAGATTTATAGACTTATTTACCTATTTACTAGACTAACTAAAACTTAAATCATGCCTCCTAAGAAAAGAGTAACTGGTGAATCGACTGCAGACTCAGAAGCTTGCTCAGAAATAAGTTCAAACACCAGGTTGAAGAATGCAGAACCAAACAAAGAGATGAACTTCCTAGGAAGAAAAACGAAGAAAGAGGCCAAGATAAGAGAGAAAAAGTTACTTCTACATGCTATGGTTGTGGAACACCAGGAGTTATTAAGACAAATTGCCCAAAATGTAAAAAACATAACCAAGGAAGTAGTTCAAATAATCAAAGCCAGCAAAAACCAGCCACACTATTTGGAATCGATGTTCCAAGTGATTCTTCCAAGCCATCAAGACTTGTTTTTGGTGAAAGTGGACTTGTTTATGCAGACACAGGAGCCTCAAGGACCATTGCAGGAAAACGACTTTTCGAGATTTATAAAACCCATGTTGAGAAATCATCAGAAATAAAATATGAAACAGTTATAATTACATTAGCAGATGGAAGCATATCTACTCAGAAGGTAACTACTTTTTCTACAGATGTGAACATAGAGGACCATACAGTGTTGACAAACTTCCTTGCTCTGCCTAATGCTGAATACACCCTACTTGGAGCCAACTTTATAAGAAATTCTGAGATTGTGCTGGACCTATCAAAACGATCTTGGCAATTTGGAGCAAATTTCCAAAATAAATATACTTTTCCGGAGATTTTTGATGTTGCATCCAGTGAAACAACTTCACCGGCCAGCAATGACTTTAGTTATCTGAGCACTTATGAAAGAACTATGTTAACGTTGGAGGAGCGGAATCAACTGAAGAAGATGTTACGAGCAAATTCACAAGTCTTCAAGTCCAGTGGTCAGGCCACGAAATTCGCCACATTGCACATTAGAACCCAGCCTAATGTTATTCCAATTTCTTTACCACCCTATCAACTTAAAAAACCAAACGAGAAATATTAAAGGTAGAAATTGATAAAATGCTTTCTAACGACATAATTGAAGAATGTGAGAGCTCATGGGCTGCCCCTCTTGTCATGATGCCAAAACCCAATGGTAAAATAAGAGTGTGCATCGACTACCAAAAGCTCAATAGCATTACAGTTAGCGACAAGTATCCAATGCCCCGAATAGATGACCTTTTACAAGGAACAAAACAGACGAAATACATGTCCACAACAGACTTACAGTCCGGATTTTGGCAAATATCAGTAGAGGAAAAGGATCGGGATAAAACGGTATTTGTCACCCCCTTTTGGTCTATTCAGATTTAAAAGGATGCCGTTCGGTCTTAAAAACGCTCCAGCACTATTCCAGGGGCTAATAGATAAATTTAAGAGTGGTCTTGATGCCATAGTATTTGCATGATCTGCTAGTGTTATCAGAAACATTCCAGACACACTTAAACGACTTGCAAAAAGTATTTGACCGACTTCAAAAATTCAACCTACGAGCTAACAGAGAGAAGTGTACCTTTGCCACAACAAACATGAAATATCTTGGTCATGTATTGACTTCTGAAGGTATTGTTGTAAACCCCGAGAAGATTTCAGCAATTTCTGATCTGCCAAGTCCAAGAAACATTAAAGAACTTCGCACCTTTATTCAAACTTGTTCCTGGTATCGCAAATTTGTATCTTTTGCTAATATTGCCAAACCTTTGACAGATTTAACCCGAAAAAAGGCACAATGGATTTGGAATGAGCCACAAGATATAACCATTGATTAATAAATAATGAGTTATTATACCTGCATAAGAACTTTCAAAAATAAAAATCTATTGCATAAACTACAATTATTGGTAACTTTCGCTGTTTTTTAGTCTCATTGCCGCATAGGTACCTATCCAATTTTTTTTTTTTGCTACTTAATTCTCCATTGACCCAAAA